ACTAAGAAGAATGTATGCAGTGTGTTAGTTATTGAAACTGTCCTAGTGATTTGATTTGAAACTTTCTCATTGCTATTTGTTTATCAATAAAATTATGAAAAAAAATAACAAAGGCCACATGGTTTTGAACCTGGGGAAAAAAATAAAATAAACACTGGACTAGAGATGTAGCTTAGTGGGAGAGCATCCTGATTCGATTATCAGTATGAACCAGAGAGACAGACAGAGAATCTTTTCTAAGTATGATATCAAAGAGAACTCTATAAAATAAGACAGGGCTGTAGCCTCAAACTGTCTATCCTGCCTCACCCTCCCAAGTAACTGGGATTACAGGTGTGTGCTACCAAGCCCAACTAAGCCCAACTAAGATACAACTTTTTAATAGGGAAATTTGGCAGTATGTATTAAAATAAACTAAGCCAGCCATGTGGTTCACACCTATAATCCTAGCATTTGGGACGCTGAGGCAGGAGGATCACTTTGAGTTTAAGACCAGCCTGGGATTCAAGGTGAGTTCAAGGTTAGCCTGAATTACACAGCAGACACTTTCACAAAAGACACACACACACACACACACACACACACACACACACACAAATCTTGCCAAAATTTAAGCTGGGTGTGGTGGTGCACTCCTATAATTCCAGCACTTGTGAGGCTGAGGCAGGAGGATCATTGTGAGTTTGAGACCAGCCTAGGTTACAAAGTGAGCTCAAGGCCAGCCTGAACTGCATAGTGAGACCTTGTCTCAAAAAAATAAAATAAAATAAGTATACTTTTTTTAAAAATTAAAATCATGCCAGGCATGGCACAACCTATGATCCCAGCACTTGGGAGGCTGAAGCAGGAAAATCATTTCAAGTTCAAGGGCAGTCTGAACTACATAACTACATATTTGTTTGTCTCAAAACAAACAAAAAATAAACCATATTCTCTGGGTGACTGAGGCAGGAGGCTTTTAAGAAATTTAATAAGATATTGTCTAAAATGAGAGAAAGACAGACAGACAC